ACAAAACATACCCTGATGTTAACAAAGAACATACACAGACCAACCAGTTTGCTTTGAGAAATACGGTGTAATTGAAGGAAGCACATCAAGCCAGTGAATGGAGGTTTTCTCCAGAGCTGGGTTGAACCGTTTGGCTTTCTGTCTGTGTAGGTCCTTGCCTGCGCACAGGTATAAGCTCCAGATGAACTGATTCTAAGGGACAACAAAGCTGCACATTCCTAGAGCTTGCTCCAAGAACTCCTGAGGTCCTATTCTGGATAGGAAGCATCCCCAAGCAAGACGAGACATCTGAAGGCTCGAAAGGTGAGACTTGCATATTTGGCTTCACAAGTCTGCTCTGCTGGGGATACTGTGAACAGTATTCAGTCGTTTGTGGAACGATTTCTGTTAGGGGCACTACGGCAACCAAAGGCACATAAAAAAAAAAAAAAGCACATCACAAAACAATATTTATGCTTTCAAAAGATAGCAAAATTGATAGCCCTCCGGTGAATTGGCAAAACAAAAGGAGTGTCACAGACAAGATCAAAAATGAAAAGAAGTACAGAACAGCTTTAAAGAACCACAAGGCAGCGCTGTGACTTTGGGCCTATACATCTGGAAATATAAAAGGCATGCACACATTTTCTAGGAAAGTATAAAGTAATAAATTCACGGAAGAAAACGGATATTTTTTGCTAGGACAAGTAGAACCAACATGTTTATATATGCCAGAGAAAAGTGCAGGTTACCTTTGGAAAACTTGGGCAAAGACGAGGAGGAGCAGGGAAAGAAGCCCCCCCCCCCCTTGTGAGTGCGACGCACTTTGAATTAGTGTACAACAGCAGTAGATTCGTTCTGTAAAAAGGCAGCAAAAATCATTGATGAACTACTCCCCATGAAGCCCTGGGCGCTGCAGGAGGTGGGCCGGAGAGGAGGGGGAATGACATTCTGAGGAGGCCCAGGGAGCCCCGACTAATAATCAGTTGCCCGTAAATTGCGAGGACTTCCCCAGCCTTCTTCCTCTCCTTCCCACACGAGGGCACCATCCCTGGATCCCAGGGCCACCAAAGCAATAGACACCAGTTCGAGTCCCTCTGCAGGCCTGAGACCTGTGGGCCGGACTTGGGCAGTCCCCGCCTCCCCGGACCGCCTCCTCGGCCCCGCCCCACCTCCGCCCGCGCCCGCGCCTACGCCCACGCCCGCCAGCGCTGGAGACGTGGGCGCAGCGGCCGCAGCAGGGCGCACAAGAGACCGCGAGCAGCGGCGCAGCTGGGAGCCAGAGTCCTATTTCCTTCACGCGTCTTTCTAAAAAAACAACCACAAAAAGGACCCCACTCCCCACTTTCCAGCGCAACTCGGAGGAGCAGGGAGGGTTGGAAGGCTTACGCAGAAGCTCCATCTATGGATCCTGAAGAAGTTCTGGGCGAGCTCTTGGCAGGACCAGTCCAGGGGACCCAGCCGCGTTCCAGGAGGTGCGGGGTGCCCCCTGACCCTGCTCGGAGGTAATGCGGTCCCCAAGGCCTGGATCGGGCAGGCCCGCGTGGGGAGCGGCCCGGGCAGGTAAGCGCATCGCGGGTCTGAGCGGCCCAGGTGGGGGTCCGGCTCGGATCAGCGGGGCCAGGGCGCCGGCAGCAGCGCGAAGGTGTCGGCGGCGGGGCGGGCTCGGGGAGCCGGTGCATCTGGAAAAGGTGGAAGCCGCGGGGAGGGCGCGATGACAGTATACTTGACGTTGACGAGCGGGGTGAGTCTCAGTGGGCAGTGGCTCGGCAGGGCTGGTGACAGGAGGCTCTGCAGGGACTAGAGGGGCCAGTCTGGTATCTGAAGAAATCCGGGGTGGGCGGCGACAGCTTATGATCCTGATGATCTGCACCAGATCGCAGCGTGCGTCAGCTGTCTGAGCAGTGGTCGGAGAACTTGCCGCCGGAAGCGCAGACCTCTCCTGGGCGAGCCCGGCCTGTGCCGCGCAGCACCGCGGACAGCGCCAGACCCGCGCTGGGCTGGGCCTGCGAAGACCCGCTTCTGTAGCAGCCCGAGTTCAGCTTTTGATCTGCTTCTAACTGCTTCCTACTGCAGAAGGAAGAGGCGGAGTGTAATTATCATCGATATCCCCGGCTCCTACGAACACAGCCACTGGACGGTGCGGCCTCTTGGATGTCGGAAGATGCGTCCAAATTCGCCCAGCCCTCTAGCATTCATTCATAAAGTGCTTACTGTGGGCCAGGACCCTGTGCTAAACACTCCACAGAGCGTGCATAATTCTTGTAGTGCTCTATGAGTGTGCTGTTTGTGTACTATTATTATTCCCATTTCACAGATGAGGAAACTGGAACAAGAGAAAATGAGACATTCGCCCACATCTACACAGCCAACATGTTATGACCACATTGGTAAACTAGCACGTGGTGGGAGGATGTGCCCGAGCAAGCTGAGGCAAAGCAAGCATGCAGCTCTCCCCTGGCCATAATCCCTGGGTGTGGGGATGAAAAGAGCAGAGCGTGTGGCAAGGAATGAGGAAGGGCAGACAGGAGGGGAGCTCCCAGAGCTGGCTGCGATTCGGAACCAGGGTGCGGTGGCTCTCTGTGGAGGCTGCACAAGCTACTGCAGAGAGAAAAGCATTTGTCAGAACCACCTTCCCTCCTGTCACTTCTGAGGGTGAGCCTCAGCCTCACAGTGTCAACTGCCCCACTCTCGGTCCCCTGGTTCTCTCCAAGCAGCTGCTGGAGAAGTCAGGCCATGTAGATGGAAACCCAGTGGGGACCTCACATTGGCAGCAGGGACTGGAGAGGTTTGGGTTTGCTAAGCCCACTTGGGAAGAAAAGCAAGGCAAGGGGCATGCACACAGAGGGGGAAGTAGGCGAGGCTTGCTATTCAGGGATGCTGCCTACATTTGTGTAATTTTAAGGTTACCGTTACCTTCCAGGTACAATGAAGCCTTGTAAAACCAATGCTCATGAGATGGAAAGTGGAAGCTGAAAGCAGTGTGCCTGCTGCCAATGGTAGCCCAACCAATACGCTCAACTGGGCTGCCAGAGCGAGGTCAGGGCCTGAGTCTGCATCCTGCCCCACACTGTCATTGTCTGAAGGGTTTCACGTGAGAGGCCAGTGAGAAGACAGTGACAAAGGGCCTGTGAAGTGGAGTACTGGGAATGTGGAAGGCTATGCCTGGGCTGCGCCCAAATTCCAGCCACAGGGAAGAGCTAGGATGCCCTGTCCTCATCCTGTGCCCTCTGACTAGGGACTGGTTAGGGACAAGGATGCTGAGTATAATCAAAAGACCAGAATCAGCCTGCCAGAGACACCATCTTTCTTCTGCATTTTCTCCCTCTTTCTGCTTTGAGGCAGAAAGAGGTGCGTGACGTGCACCCCACATGGCATGACAGGGAATTCGATTATCCATCCCTCTTCCTTCCACGTTCTGTCTCCACTCCTCTTCCTCCTTCCATCTTTTTCATTATTCTACTTTATTAAGGGAGAAAAGACCTATCTTTGTAGGTCAGAGTTTCTTGGAGGGATCAACTCACATAATGAACAAGATCAGCTCTCCAGGAGAGAAGTTGCAAAGTGCTAAGGCCTGCAGGAACTGTCTGCAGGTCTCCCCCAGGTTCTGTCTTTTGAGGCTAGTGCTACCTATGTCTCCTGGAGTGTGTGTTAATTAGTGATCTGTTGCTATGAAGTGCACCCTCCACACCTTGAGTGGTTTAAAATGAAAGCTGTTTCTTTCTTTCTTTCTATTCCTGCAGCTCAGGCCAGACTCTGGGGGTTTCTCCTGCTGGCCTCACTTGTTTCACTCAGCTGAGGACATCTGGGGGCTGATTATGGCTGGATAATCTGAGACAGTCTCCCTGCATTCTGAAAGTAAGCTGGACTTGGGGGACAGCTAGGCTTTCTGACACCACACTGAATGCCATAAAGCAAGCTGGAAGCTTCGAGGCCTTCCAAAGCTTTGCCCCAAAAGTCTCACACAATTACCGTTGCCGAGCTATACTGACTGGAGCAAGTCACAGGACCAACTCATCACGCACATACCCTGGTGTGGGAGGACTCTGAGGCCACGTCTTATAATCAACCACAGGTACAAACCTGAGAGCGAAGTTACTGGGCCTTTGGTTCTTCTTAGATCCAATTCACACTTCCAGGAGGTTCTTGCTGCCTCCCAACTTCATATCCTTCATACTGTCATTCCATCTAATGGAGCCATCCTGGAGAGAATGTAGTGGTGTCTTGTTGAACTTTAATTTGATTTTCCTTGAGTAGTAATGAGGCCGAGTGCCTTTTTATGTGCTTACTGGTCATTTGTGTATCCTCTTTTGGAGCAAATGATTTGTACGTATTCTTTATGTAGTCTGGATAGTCACTATAATTTTACCCAATCTCCTTCTTGGATCTTGAGTGATTTTCCTCTTGATTACAAGGGAAGCAACATTTGAGCTGCAGTTTGAAGGGTGATGAATAATTAAAGAAGAACAGGAAGACCTTATAATTAGAAACATGAGCAGGGTCAACAGGGGTGAAAGCAATGCCTCTGAGAAATAAGATTGATTTCAAGGTAGGTAGAGTATGAGGTTGGAGATGTGGGAGATGATGTTTGAAAGGTGAGGCCAGGAAGGAAGCCTGGGCTGGAAGGAAGTGTATTTTTAACAGACATTATCTTTCATGAGTTAGTCTTTGGAGGTCCTGCTTCAGGTCTCCAGAGCTTGGAGGGTGTAAACTTATGGATGCATAAGATTTGAACCCAAAAATCCTAGCTAGGACTGCCAAGAAGTGAAAAGTATTATAACAAGAGAAGTTAAATGTTTTATACCATCTCATGAAAGCTTCACCCTGGTTCTATGAGGGCGGGGGATACAGCTCAGTAGCACAGCCCCTGCCTGACGAGCATAACGTTCTGAGTTTGATTCCTGGTTTCCCTGCAGTGGTTGTGCTGACAGGCAGGTGAGAGGATGCATAACATGCCCTGCTTCTTCCCTTGCCAGGTCTGATCACCTCACTGGCTCAGAGACCCTGCTGCAGGCAACAGGATGGATGATGACACTGAGCTGAGGACTGACGGAAACTCCCTGCTGAAGGCTGTGTGGCTGGGGCGGCTTCGGCTGACCAGGCTGCTGCTCGAAGGTGGTGCTTACATCAATGAGAGCAATGACAAAGGAGAAACTGCACTGATGGTGGCATGCATCACAAGGCACGTGGACCAGCAGAGCATCAGCAAGCCCAAGATGGTGAAGTACCTGCTGGACAACAGGGCAGACCCCAACATCCAGGATAAGTCAGGCAAGACAGCGCTCATCCACGCCTGCATCCAGAGAGCTGGGGGAGAAGTGGTCTCCCTGCTACTGGAGAACGGCGCGGACCCCAGCCTGGAGGACCGCACTGGAGCCTCAGCTCTGGTCTACGCAATTAATGCAGATGACAAGGACGCACTGCGACATCTCCTGGAAGCCTGCAAGGCCAAAGGGAAGGAAGTGATCATCATAACAACAGATAAGTCCTCTTCAGGCACCAAAACCACCAAGCAGTATCTCAATGCCCCTCCCTCACCCAGAGTGGATGAGAGGCAGTCCCCTCCCATGGGTGCCTCCCCCTCCAACCTAGAGCTGAAGGCTTCCTCCAGCGAGAAGGGAGATGACTTCTTTAGCCTCCAAACAGGACATCCAAGTGGAGGTAATGCTGCAAAGGCTCTTGCCGAGTCTGGATCACCCATCAGGAAAGTTGGAACCCTCAGGAGGGCCCGTTTGCCTCAACTGAAGAGGCTGCAGTCAGAGCCCTGGGGCCTCGTTGCACCCTCGGTGCTAGCCGCCTCCATGCATCAGGACAAAACACAGGGTGCCAGCACAGATGGCGAGATCATGAGGAACCTAGGTGATGTGTCCTTTCCAAAGAGGGGGCCCTTGTCCAGAACCAACAGTACCGATGGCAAAGACCTCTTCCCCACTGTCACGGAGCAGATTCTGAAGGCTGCAGTGCCCCCAGCACCAACCACCTGGAAAGGCCCCCCTCTCCACCAGCGCTTGGCCCGGAGAGGAACCCTCCCTGCTGAGCAAGAGAGGAATAGTGTGAATGCATCAGGACCCTCCTCTCTCAAAGAGCCAGCATCCCTCAAACAGCTGGAAAATGACCTCTATGACCTAGATTTAGAGCCAGGGCGCGACCCAAGCGACTCCACTCCCCTTGAGTCAGGCAAAGTCCCCTCAGATAGAAAGAAGCTCAATGGCTCCCTTGTGTCCCTCCTCCAGGGGTCCCGGGAGTCTCTGGAGGCTGTGCCTATTACCTCCCCCAGCTCAGGGCGCCGCCCACCTCACCTTCTAGAAAGACGAGGTTCTGGGACTCTGCTCCTAGATCGCATTGCTCATGCCAGGCCAGGATTCCTTCCACCTTTAAATGTTAATCTGAACTCCCTCACCCCAGACATTAGATCTAGTAGCAAACCTTCTTCCCCACTGGCAAGTGGCTTAAAATCTATGGTTCCTGTTGCTCCAAGCTCACCAAAGAGGGTTGATTTGAGAAGCACAAAGAAGCTCCTCCGAAGGCATTCCATGCAAATCGAGCAGATGCAGCAACTGTCTGGCTTTGAAGTAATCATGACCTAGAGCCTTTCTGAATGACCTTCCCCCACCTCTGTATCCTTCATGGGAGGGACCAAAAATCCAGACCTGCAAAACCGTGCAGAGTCTCTGCATCCCAACCACTCTGTAAAGGCTGTGTGGCCACAACTGAGGACATGGAGACAGGGTGCTACCTTGCTTCTGAAATAAACAGGGATTATTTCAGGTAATTTACTTCTGATATGATCCCAGGAATTTTATAGGCCTACTTGAAAAGAACTCAGGAAAATTAGGCTTTAGAGATAAAATTACAAGAAAAAAGTTATCTGAAAGAGTAGAGTCTTGTGGTTAGGAGATCACATGGCAAGCACAATGCCTGAAGTTGTGGACACCTGTTATTTTCTGTACAACAAACAGAAGACACACACTTAGACCATGAGATGTCACTTGAATGTCACTGGTCATCTGTAAAGTGCCTAAAAAGGAAATGGCTTTGACATTCTTTGGAATATGCAAAACCTCAAAACCAAGCCCTAAGCTTCTGTATGTGGTTTCGTCAGGTTGAGCAGAAGCAGAATTCTTCCAAAAGAGAGTGCCTGCCCTGTGGCACTGTCCCTCGTTTGTCATGGGCGCTACCTGGCATGGCTGAACTGCTTCAGCTCTCCGGAAGCAGGCTTTATTCACATGCCAGCACGTTGTGTGCAAAGTCCCACTTGTTCCTCTACATGCCCCGTTTTGAGAGGTCACCCAGCCGTAGCCATAGAGAGGAGCAGGGAGGAGCCCGGACCCATGAGACCTTCTCCAGTCCTTGGTCCCACAGGGAAATCAAAGTCTGTGGACACCAAAGCTAACTAACAGGATTCTAACACCACATAACTTGTAGAACCAAAATGCTCTGCCAAGTATGCTTGAGAGAACGCAGTGGGATCTACTGGAACAATGGGCAGCATGGGCACTGCACAGAAGTCCCTGGGGCTGGAACTGGCTGGGCGATGCTAGCAGAAGCAAACCGTTATTTCCCTTTCAGGGACCTGGGTAATTCAAGAAACGTCTGGTTTCTCTTTGCCTGAGTTACCTGGGTGATGAGAGATTTGTTGAAACCATCTGTAGCACCCTTTAAACACTTTCAAGAAATCCAAAGAAGAGTTCAATCCCTGGTTCCACCCCCCCAAAAAAAAAATCCAAAGAAGGAAGTAGAAATTTAGCACACTTGCTAAATTAGATACAAATGTTCTCATTTTCTTCTCATGTATTTCTCCTCTCATGTAACCAAGCTATGCTACTTGCTCCATAGTTGAAATTTTAGCTGTCCCTAGAGATAGAGTCATGCAGATGGAAGAGCAGAGGGTCTGAGTCTTCCAGGCTTGGCTTCGCACCCTAGTCTTTACTACAGAGTGACTGTGAGGGTTAGCTTCCTGTTCCAGTCTCAAGCCTCAGCTCCCTCCTCTGTAAAGTGGGATCAGATTACGTTTTGCAAGGGTTTGTGAGAACAAAGGGGCACAGTGCTCTGAAGTGCTTGTGTGCCCAGCCCAGGCCAACATCGCTGGATATACCGTTGCTAAGTTAGATGCATTTCTAGAAACGTTGGAAGTCTTAAAATCTCAGTTAATAAATAGCATACACAACAGAGTAAAGTCCAACGAAAAGATCCCAGTGTCTCTTCGAGATTCCCACAAGTCCTATAAACCTTGATTCCTAAACTTATTTGTAAAGTAAAACATCCTGCTATATACACTCTGCATATCACACCAATTCTATAGAGACATTTCCTTGAAATGTATCTAAATAATCCCAACAAAACATTAACGATGCTTTGTGATTCTGTTAGGGCAAGTTCTTTCCCAGTACCACTGACAGCTGAGGCTGGCTAACTTCTGCTGGAGCAAGATCTGCCCTGTGCATCGCAGTGTACTTAACTGTGCCCCAGAAGGCAGCAGTGCCTTGCTCCTCAGGGTGATAAGCACAAGGTCCCTCGACCTGGCCAGGTGCCTCCTGAGGGCAGCAGCACCTGGCAGAGCAGCTGTGCAAGTAGAAATGTGCCAAGAACCACAGCTCCAACTGGACACATGCCCTTCAGGGTTCTTGGTAAGCAGTCACAACACAAGCACTAGAGGTCTCTGTACCTGCAGGATAAGCGGAAAGTGAGAAGAAAGGACATAAAGTGATGAAGATGTACAGAGCAAGAATTCAGCTCCATGTGGGCACCATTTGGTTTTCAGAACCACTCAGTTGTTGGTAGTTCTTACCAAAGTGACTGGATTATAGGTAAAGAAATAGCTTCCAACCTTAATGAGAGAATTGTACAACCACTGCATTCAACAGAGAGAGAGAGAGAGAGAGAGAGAGAGAGAGAGAGAGAGAGAGAGAGAGAGGTATTTTTCCAGCTGTTATAGATGCCAGTTCAAACTACCCTGCCAGGGGACAGGAAGACCCTGCACAGGATCCAAGATGTGGAAGGCTGATTACCTGAGGAGAGCTGGGTTTGTTTGTGGTAAGTAGCTCAGGCACAGGGAGGAGCTTCATCAGTGTGGCTGGCCCATCGAACAGAAGCAGAGCCAAGTCAGGAGCTCTCCTGCAGCCCCTGCCTGCATCTCAGCATGACCTTCCCACCAGCCTCCTCTGGCAGACACCAGGCAGCCCCTTCTCTATCACTGCTTGGCAATGCTTTAGCTGAGTTAGGCTTGTTCTCCACTAGTACAATGGCCAACATACCTTGTCATGGTTTATGCATAAATAAGTGATTTTGTTCACATTAATGAATCACACAAGAATGCTTTTCAAAAGCATATTTTAGAGTCAAATATACTTTATAGATCAGAGGCTAGCTTTTTTGTTTTGGAATCCTAGAGTCACTACATAAGTTAGCTGTGAACTAAAGTTTCAGTGAACTAAAATTCCACTTAAGGTTTTCTAGACTGTATTAAAATATAATCCAGAATGTGAGTCTAATGTTTGAAGTCTAGTACTTTGTTTAATTTCTAGACATTCCAAAGCCTTAACAAAATCCACTGACCCTTGTAGATTTCTGTGGAACTTTCTGCGAGGGCTGGCCATGTACCGGAGCTCCTCCTTGCGTGTGGGGGCTGCTAACTGGCCCTTCGCAGTGCCCTGTCCCAGTTTTAAGCTGAGCGTGTACTCAGAGATGTGTTAAAGTCCCTGTATTGAAATTGTCTAATATGTCAATAAAAGATCTACCACAAACTTTCAGTAGTAGTTGTCATTTTCTTTGGTGAAATTTCAAGGATAAAATTTACTTTTTTTTTTAAGTTGGCATAGATATGATTGCCTAGTGACAGGAGCCTTAACAAGCACTCAGTATTTTACAGTTAAATGTGAATCTTAAACTACATAGACATCAGGACTACCCTCCTGGGAAACGGGCACAGCGAACGCGAAAGTATGTGCCAAGTGAGGGTGAGTGCCCCTCAGCCTGCTGCCGCTCCAGGCTGCACCTAGCAACAAGACAGACTCATGGCCTCTGTGCATCCCACAGGCTCTCTGCATGCTGATCAGTGTACATGTAGGTGACCTCAGTCCTCTGCAGGAGGACAGAGTGGCGAGAGCAGGAATGGGCCAGTGGATCTCCCTGCTGTTCTAAACTCTAGAATCTTGTGATTCTCTGGACAAGCTGCCCATAAGTTTTCCTCTAGACTACTGAAATTAACTTGGTTAATAACAGGAAAGAAGAAGCCATTTCAGGATGTCTTTTCCCTCCTCTGCCACCAGGAAAGGTGGCTAATACTATTCCTAAGCCCTCTGAAGAGAGATGATGATAGAGGAGAAGGTGGCAGGGGAGGTGAAGAGAGATGAAGTTCGGACCACGGCGGCTGGTGGTGGGAGAGGAGATGCATCCATCAGGCTGACAGCAGGTTTAGTGGTCTGCAGTCCCATGGTGGAGCCTTCCTCTCCAGAGCAAGGCCTTAGAGAAAACGGGCTGCATGACTCATCCTGGGAGGCCAGGCCAGGCCACGTGGGCAGGAAGGCCCAGGGCGAGGCCATCTGGACACTGTGACTACATAGAGCTCCTCAGAGTGCAGTGGGAGAGCTCCAGGGGACCCCAGTGGCCTCTGTCAGCTTTCTTTCTAGAAGTCACCAATTCTAGTGGATTTAGTAAGGTAATACGGGATTGCATACATCCAAAAGTGATGCAGAGAAACTCGCAGCGCTCCGCATCTGAGGGACACAACAGGATATGCACATAGAAAGTACAAGAGGGAGCCACCATTCTACGTGGCTGCTGAAGGGTGTCAGAGTAAGGTTAGACCTCAGGAGACAAAGAATGCTGGGGCTACTACGACACTCATTTGGCTCAACAGAACTAGAAGAGTCAGAATTCTCACAGGGGCTTCTTGGAGGAAGGTGATTCTGTAGTCCAGGCCCAGTAGATGAAGTGTGGAAGGGCATTTTGGAATCATGGAATTCAAACCTAATGGTGCTTCGTGGAGAAAAGAATGACCTCATGAGACAGGCTTGGAAGGAAATGAAGGATGAGAGAACAATGAAGGCTCCAAGGAGTCAGGGTCCTACCAGTGGGAACCAACCCGAATGAACACCATGGTGACAGTGACCTGGTTCTGCCCTCCGCTGGCAAAGCTGTCAGGATTACACACGTGTATGTGTACACATGCATGTGCAAACGGCGCACCTCTGTCTCTGCCAAAATCAGAGTGCAGTAGGATTCAGTGACTTGCCGAAGACCACGGTGCTGGAGCCATGAACCAGGAGACAGTGAGCGTCTCCGTCACCACCAAAAGCTTGTTCACACTCTGCTCCGGCAGCTACTGACTTGCTCCCGTCATCACACTTGAGCTCGTGATCCCCGGAGCTTTATTAACTGTAGCGGCCTGTTTGTGTGTGTCTCACTCTGCACAAGTAGCTACAGGCTCACGCAGGCGATTTCTCATTCTGGCACTTCATTCTTTTTTATGGCTGGATGCATTCCACTGTGTGGAATGATGATGGGTGGATGGGCTATCTGCAGTTTGGGGCTGTTAGAGGTAAAGCTACTACAAACTTTTAAGTGTAAGCTTTTATATAGACATACA